GGGTCTGCAGGCAGCTTCCCACGGTGCCATTTTCTAGCCTGGTGATTTTCCATTCCTCATAGGCCTGCCTAGGTCTGTCACACAGCTTCCACCTAGTCTTGTATGTTATCAGTGGCAGGGGGGAGGGAAAATGGATTAAGACAGCAGGAGAGTATTCTGTGGGAATTAAAGTACCAACAAGTAGAGAAGAGATAGGATATCCTTTGGATAAGTATAGTGTTTGGTTGGATAAGTTTCCCACTTTGGGTAAGTATAGTGTTAACCGTGATATTTCACCCAACTAGCCACTTTTTATAAAAGGTGAAAAAGACATAAGACTCTTGTTAGAGGAGAGAAGGACTGTGAGCTCGATTTAGAAAACAGAGTGCTTGTGCAAGGTTAGATGATGAGACATAGTGAGAGTAAAGGATAGACAGTCGGCGTAGTGTGAGAGAGAATAGAGTTAGCCACAATAGGAAGAAAGCTCAGGAAGATAGTGAAATGGGGTCAGATCAGGGAGGGGTGCTGTGTAGTATTTACAGTTGTATGGACAATTATTTACATTAGTACTGGAACAACAATAATATCACAAGAAATATATGATTTGGATAACGAGAATAGAAAGTACACAATCAAGAGTGGTGTGTTATTAGAACACTCGTGAAGTGAAAGAAGTAGGACTAAAACACAATATTAAACAGATAATAAGGAAAACCAGTCAAACAATGCAATTAAACAAAGAAATAGAGAAAACAACAGAAAGGAAAAATACTAATAAGTAAAAATTATTTTAAAAAAATAATAGTACAAGTAAACAATAAAATGCAAGTTCTGTAGGAGAACAAAGTGAAATCTGTCTCAGTTTCTCAGTTGTTGGGGTTAGCCTTGTGTTCCCTCTTTGGATCTGTCTCTGGACCTTTCACAGTTCCAGGTCTTATTGTCTCACTTGGGGGAAGGAAAACAACAGAGAGAGGGAGGAAAAGCCTCCTGCTGACTTTAAACCCAATGATCGATTTCTGTTGGTCTTCCTGGATGCCGCAGGGTGGGAGGCAGTCGGGGGTGGGGAGGTGCTGGGCTTTGCTTTTCTCCCTTCCTATGGCTTTGTGAGGATGGGAGCCAGGTCTGGACAGCAATCTTCACAGTTGCCCAGCCTCCAGCCCAGGTCCTCTGTGAGCTTCCGACCCCCACTGTCCATCTGTACCAAGCTGGCACCTTTAATTCACCAGTTGTTATGCGATCTGTGCAGTGCACCTCCTCCTTGCTCTTTGTGAGCCCGCCACATTGGAGCCCACCACCTGCCAGGCATGCGGCGCCCATGTGAGTAATGGAAATCAGCCGCCTAGCAAGGGACGCCAGTCAGCCTCTGGGTGAGCAGCTCGAATCAGTTTCCCTTTGAGCAGCATGAGCCAGCCACTGTGAGAGAGTTCCTTAAACAATGGCTGAGAATTTTTTTTTTTTTTAGTAGAGTCCTCTTGTTTAAGCCCGCTGTCCTTAATAAGCACCCAGCCTCTCACACAGCCCAACTTTCTAACCAGGCCAGAGACTATCTGGGTCCCAGTCAACAATGCCCAACTCTTCTCCCTTCTCCAGGTGTCACTTGGCTCCCCAATTTCTCTGGTAATGACCTAGCCAGAGCACAAAGTCCCAGCAGCTGAACACTACTGAAAGGTTTTTCTTAGGCTTCTCTGAGAAAGAAATGCCAATCATCCACAAAGTCAGGCAATAAAGAGCTTTATTGGGGTTTACGCACCCGGGCAAGGTTCCCTGGTCTGCAGAGTGGGGCTAGAGAAGTCGCCCCCAAGCAGGGAATATGGCAGGGTTTTATTGTGGTTGGCTCTCTTCGTGAGAGCTGGGGATTGGTCCCCATTGAACAAAGCGGCAATATATCATTGGTGGCTCAGGTTGCTATACGGATATTTGTTTTGGCAAAGCCCACCCTTTCGGCTCTCTGGTTTGACGTCAGCCATCTTTTCCGGGTTGTAGTTCAGCCGCCATTTTGTCCTACCCCGCCCATCCTGACATCTACCTCTGTGTGTGTCTCCCACTTTGTCTTCATTCCCACCAGCGACTTAGAGCATCCAGGTCCCTCCTGGTGCTGCACTGCCCTCCCTGCTTTGGTAGGGGAGGGATCTGGTGATCTAACTCCCCTGCAGGGAGCCTGCGGCAGGCGCTGGGCCAGGGGCAGCAGCAGCCGTGGTCCCTGCACAGATCCCAGGGACCTTACCGTCTATTTTTCAATGTCCTCTACAATTTTTGGCCTCCAAATTTCATATAAGCTGGGATTGCTTTGGCTGTTCACTCTTGTTCCTCAGAAGATTGGCTAGGTGTCCCAGACAGGCCCAGGGCAATGTGGGCTCCTCTCCCACCTACCTTGCCGCCATCTTTTTCTCTCCTCCTTTATCTGCCATATCAATTCTAACTCCCCTCCCTGCTTTTCAAAGTTCTCTGTGACCTAGCCCTACCTTTCTTGTCCAAAGGTAAATCACATGACAAACATTGTTAATACCCGAGAGTCTAACCTTAAAACCATCCTGAATTTACAAATATGACTAACTCTTGTGATGGTAGATGCTTATGAAGAGCTGTTCTGAAGTTTGTCAGGTGTCCCAGCACTTACCACCTGCCCTTGCTACTGATGAGACAAAGGTTCTGGAGTGACACAGTGACCTTTACAAAGGTAACGTCTTTAAAAAGAATTAGGACTTCCGCCAAGATGGAGGCGTAGGTGGAAACACTGTGCCTTCTCCCACAACCAAGTTTAAAAATAACAAAGTTTTAGCAACAAAAACACAGCCAAACCACAGAAAATTGAACTATACGGAAGTCTGATAATAACGAACTCTTCAGCCAGACCAGTAAGAGGGGCAGAGCCAGCAGCAGAGCGGGGTCGCGCAGGAAAGATCCACTGGACCCACCCAGGCGTGCGACCTAGGTGCGCAGGCAGCTGTTGGCAGATTCCAGGTGTGGAGTAGCAGTGGGCGGACCCACTGAAGGCTGACCACAGTCACACATTCGCGTGCAGATAAACTGGTGAAGGAGCAAGCAGTGAGACGGACCATGCAGGCCCCAGCAGTGGGAAGCAGCAGAGGGGACGGCTGTTGTCCTTCTCTGACCCTGCCCCCACATACAGCGTAACAAATCAGCGACCTGGGTGGCCCCACCCTGGTGAACACTTAAGGCTCCTAACAGGTGTGAACAGAGAAAAACATTATGGCTCAAGAACTCAAAGCCCCAGAGCCCATAACTCTAAGTGACGAAGAAATAGCCGAACTTTCAGATGCATAGTTCAAAACACTGGTGATCAGGATGCTCACAGAACTGGTTGATTTTAGTCACAAATTAGAGGAACATATGGAGGCTAAACTAATTGAAATGAAGGGAATTGCACAGGAAACCAATAGTGATGAAAAGGAAACTGGGACTCAAATCAAGGGAGTGAACTAGAAGGAGGAAAAAAATGACCAAACGGAAAAGGATGAAGAAACAAGAATAAAAAAAAAAAAAACAAGGAGAGGCTTAGGAACCTCCAGGAAATCTTTAAATGTTCCAACATCCAAATTATAGGGGTACCAGAAGGGGAAGAGGAACAGCCATGGGTGGAAAACTTATTTGAACAAATAATAAAGGAGAACTTCCCCAATTTGGCAAAGGAAATAGACTTCCAGGAAATCCAGGAAGCTCAGAGAGTCCCAAAGAAGTTGGACCCAAGAAGGAACACACCAAGGCACATCATCATTAGCCAAGATTAAAATGAAGGAGAGAATCCTAGAAGCAGCAAGAGATAAGGGGACAGTCACCTACAAAGGAGTTCCCATCAGACTGTCAGCTGATTTCTCAAAAGAGACCTTACAGGTGAGAAGGGGCTGGAAAGAAGTATTCCAAGTCATGAAATCCAAAGACCTGCAACCAAGATTGCTGTACCCAGCAAAACTTTCATTTAGAATGGAAGGGCAGATAAAGTGCTTCTCAGATAAGATCAAATTCAAGGAGTTCATCATCACCAAGCCCTTATTATATGAAATGTTAAAGGGACTTATCTAAGAAAAAAAAGATAAAAAATATGAACAGTGAGAGGACAGCAAACTCACAGTTATTAAGAACCACACCTAAAACAAAAGCAAACTAAGAGGACAGCTAGGTCAGGGGTGGAAACATAGAAATGAAGATCTCATGGAGGGTTAGCAACAGGGGGGTGGGAGGAGGAGAAGGGGGGAGAAGGTACAGAAAATAAGTAGCATAGACAGTAGATAGAAAATAGATAGGGGGGAGGGCAAGAATAGTAGGGGAAATACAGAATCTAAAGAACTTGAGACACGTGGTCATAAACTAAAGGGGGGATGGTGGGGGAGAGGGTGTGCAGGATGAAGGGGAATGAAGGGAGGGAAATAGAACAACTGTAACCATATAATCAATAAAATATATTTTAAAAAATTAGTACAAAGGACTAGGAGGAACTTGGGTGGTACCCTAACATAACTTTACTGTGTGTGTATCTTTCCAGGATCCCACCAAGGGACACTTCACTGGGACATAAATGACATTTAGCAAGCACTAGTTCTATTGAGGCAAATTTATTTTTTAAAGAGCAAGTTGTGTATGTTCACTGCATCTCTGCTTGATTCTACCAAACTAAGAGATTCTGATATTTCTAATAGGAACTCATTTTTAAAATCCTCTAGCCTTGGCCAGTGGCTCAGTTGCTTAGAATATCATCCCATACTCCAAATGGTTGCAGCTTGATTCCCAGTCAGGGTACATACCTAGGTTGTCTCAGATGCATGCAGGAGACAGCCAATCAATGTTTCTCTCTCTCTCTCCCTCCTTCCCTTCCTCTCTCTCTCTCTACAATCAACGGACATATACTTGGGAAAGGGGTTTTTTAATTCTATATTAATGAGCCTATATTTTCTTAGATTTCAACTTTCATAAGTGGAATTCTAAGTAAAATAACTTCTTTATTTTAAAAACAGTGAGCTATTCTTGTGAATTTACTTTTTTGACATTTGTCTTTGTATTTTTAGACTAGTAAACCCAAAAAGGATGTTGCTTTGCCTGTCAAAGCTACACGACCGATCAACATTAAACTTCAGCCCAGACCTGCCCATATCCCAGGGTCCCAGAAGCCAAAGTTGGAGCCACCAAAACTTCTGGGCAGAAGGCCGACTTCAGGATATGGTTCTTCCAACCCAAACTGTAAGCGTCCCAGCAGTCGTCAGCAACAGCACAAAACAGCAGCATCCACTGGACAGCTGTCAAGGAAGACAGAGGGGTCACTTAATATACAGGAACCGAAAGCTACAAAGCAGCAAGTGACAGATCAAGAAAATGCAGCACACACAGACTCTGCGGGCAATGTCTGTGGTGAGGGTGAGTCCTTACACAACTCTCTAAAAGAGGTAAACAAAGAAAACTTGCCCCAGACCTTACTGGACTCTGAGAAGATGCTACATGCTCAGTTATGGGCCAAACTTAAACCAAAAACTAGCTCTTCTAATCAAACCAAAAGCAGTCTGGCCCCTAAGCAAGCCTTGTGTAAAAGTTCATTGGATCAGGCTGTTCTGAAAGACAGAGCTAATAAAGGGTCTGTTGGGCAAACACAAACCAGGATTCCACCAGTAAAGTCACAGCAGCTCCCTAAAGGAACAGCTCTTGTGAAACCAGGAGAAAAATGCTCAAAGACAGCTCCCTCTCACTCCATTCAGACCCTTAATAGGAATCAAGTATCAAAGAAACCAGGGGTCAAAGACATGAAGAATATAAAGGTTAATAATGGTAAATATGAAAGTCTAGGTGGAGCTAAGTTACCGTTACACACTGTTACTGAACAAAAAGTAGAGCACACCAGACCTAGGACCTGCCCCAGTCTACTTCAGGGAGGACCTCGCCACAGACATGCACACGTTAAGCAAGACCAGAAACCCCCTCAACCTTGTTCTGGACCCCAGACATCATGCGTGCAGCAGAAATCCAAAACTGTGAGCCGCAGGCCTAACGTGGCAGTTGGCAGCTTTACTTCAGTCATTCCCAACACCCCAAGCATAAGAGCAAGTAGAGCCAAGGGGAATAAACACAACAGCAGCTATCAACAGAAAGCACGGACCTTGGACTCCAAGCTGAAAGGTACTCTTCCCCAGAATCATTTTTTAAACAAGACAGCTCCCAAAACTCAGACTGATAGCACAGCCACAAATAGAAGAGGAGTCCTGAATAGAACCCAGACTAACCCAGATGTTAAGAAGATCACAGCAGAGGACCGAAGGTACATTGCTTTAATTCCAAAATCGCAATTTAAGGTGATTAGGCAAATTGACCATCAGAGTACTTGGTCAGGTAGTAGGCCATAAATAATGGCTCCTGGGTCATTTTTAGCTTCAATCCTGAGAAAAGGAGATTTGAACCAAATATATCAAATATGAAGGCTTGGTAGAGCTGAGTGGTACCTATGTGTGTTATAAATTACCTCTGTAACTTTCTTTGTGCTTGAAGCAGAATGACAGAGTGAAGGAGTCAGGGGTGCAGGTGAAGACAGCTCACTCAGGAAGTGCTTGCGGGCTGAACAGCGAAGGGAGATGGCCAGGAGGAGGTGGGGAGATGCGAGTGCCTTGTCAAGCCGACCAGGGGTTAAATCCAGGAAAGTTATTGAGGAAGCAAGAATGGGAAACTTTTATGAGTCTGAGCAGGCAAAGTTGTAGAAAGTCAGTAAGGCAGCTTAGGAGCAGTGATAGTTATGGTTACATGACTGCATGCATTTGTCAGAATGTAGAACTGCACTGTAAAATATGTGAATTTTACTGCATGTTATTGAACTCTCGTGTGTTGTATGTACTGTGCTAGGACAGCCAGGGTTTTTGCCTTCCTAGAGCTTGCATTCTAGTAAGGAAGACAGGAAATGAACACATTGGTTAACTAAGACAGGGTAATTACAGATAACTTCCTAGTCAGGAAGGACTGGAGGCCGATAATGCCAAACCCTGCGCAGGGATGATCTGGGTCAGGAGGCTGAAAGGACACCCGAGCTGCTGGAGCATAGTGAGGAAAGGGAGAGAGCGTGGCGTAATCTTGGAGAGGCTGGCAGAAGTCATTCTAATAAAGATCATTCTAATACTTGTGCACAGGCTGAATTTGCAGCTGCAGCAGTTCGGACAGAAAGTGACAGTGCTATGGACTAGGACGGTGCTGGTGGGGGTGGGAGTACTGCCCACAGGGTGGTGTGCGGGGCACAGGGAAAGAAAGCACTGCTCAAAGAAAGACAACTCCTAGGGTTAGGCCCTTGCAACTGGGTGGATGGAAACACTATTATTGATCGGGGGCAGATCCAGACATGAACATCAAGAGCATTGTTTTGGACAATATTAAATTTGAAATGCCTGCCAGACATCAAATAAAAAATATCAGCAGGCTGTGGGTTTTACAAAGTTTGGGGCTCCAGGAGGAGGTCTGGGCTAAAATGTACATTTGTGAGTCATGAACTAGTTGAGCTTTAGAGAAGCTAGTGAGTTTACATCCACACTCGGGTCTGCAAGTCTCGATGGCTCCCCAGCAGCAAGCAGCCTGCCTGCTGCAGAGAAGTGGAGACCGTACAGTGTGGGGCCGGGGAAGAGCAGGATTAGGACTCGTCGGCATGTTTCGAAAAGAAATTATTGGTCTTGTTTAGAGTAGATGTGGTCACGAGTGGGCTAAGGAGCTGGGTAAAGTGGATCACTCTGAGTGGCCAACACCCTGTGGAGGGCAAAGGGCAGGTTTGGTGGGTCTGGTCGGTGGCAGAGCTTGCGGGAAGAGAAGTGGAGTGCTGAGTCAGCGGTCTCAGAGGCGGAAGGCAGGGGTCAGAAGTAGCATGCCGGTGAAGTGAGTGTTTTCAGAGAAAAAGAATGAATAATCTTGGAGTCAAAGGATGTGAAGACTGAGATGCCAGTCGCCTCTAATCCTAGTAATGCACCTGCCTTCTGAAGAGGGGGCAACCACTGCTGTCTTGACCCATCTGTAAACTGTTTTCATTCCAGTCTCTTGGCTTCGGCTGTAGTTAGAGGTGTGCAGTGATCGTACTCCGTCTATGCACATCATAGACCTTGAAGCTTGACCATGTGCCCAAAAACCTAAAACCATTCCTCCCCTTTAACTGCATAACAGGAAACAGCTGGAAGAATGGCAGAAATCTAAGGGGAAAATGTATAAGCGGCCTCCGATGGAACTTAAAACAAAAAGAAAAATAATGGAGGAGATGAATATTTCATTCTGGAAGAGCATGGAAAAAGAAGAGGAAGAAAGGAAAGCACAACTTGAATTGTCCAATAAAATTAACAGCACTCTGACCGAGTGTCTGCAGCTCATCGAACGGGTGAGTGAGGAGGGTGATCTCCAAAGCTTTAGCCCAGAGTCATTTATCTTTCTTTTTTTTTAATGTTTTATTTATTTATTTTTAGAGAGAGGAGAAGGGAGGAAGGAAGAAAGGGAGAGAAACATCGATTTGCAGGAGATCAGTTGCCTCTTGCACACCCCCAGCTGGAGACATGGCCCACAACCCAGGCATGTGTCCTCACTGGGAATCAAACTGGTGACCATGTGGTTCACAGGGCAGCACTCAATCCACTGAGCCACACCAGCCGGGGCCATTTTTCTTAAATATAGTTAAGGGGAGGTAACGTCTGTCAAAACAGAAACTTAGTTACTCACTGTGGGAGATAGTTTTGTGTATGTGTATCTTTTCAGTTTTGTCCATGGTCACTTGTCTACTTGGGGTTTGTATTTCTCGGGCCATTTTAGTAATTCCACGCCTTTTATTTAAATCAGACTTGTTAAAAGGTTCTCTCTTAGTCTTTTGAAAAGGCCATCTTTGGGGTTTTTGTGGATTATTTTTTCTTCTACATCAATGTCTACATCTATTTTTATGTGTATTGTCCTTTTTCTAGTTTTTTTTTTCTTAGATCATTTGTATTAGTCTTATTTTTTTAAATACACTTAATGCTATAAATTTGCCTCTGAATTTGACTTTGGTCATATCCTTCAGGTTTGATAGGTAGTGTTCTTCATCAATCAGTGTCGAGTCAGAAAAATAGAAACCACACCAGTATCATAATACTGGAAAGAATGTGGTGGCAGGATTGGTTTCACAGTGTCTTGTATGCACTCCCTAGAAGCAGCCCCTAAGAGGAGAATTTGTGTGAAAGTAATTTACTGGGAAGAGAATCCCAGGAAAACAGGGGAGAGTGGGATGTGGGGCCAGGACGGCCAAGTCCACAGAGGGTGACTGTGGCGCAGTCCCAAAGGAAGCTCCGGGGACACTGGGAGTCACACCATCCCAGAGCTCATCCTGATCGAGGGCACTACACTGATGAATGGCTGCCTCAGAGGGACAAAAAGTCCCAGGCCCTTGTGAATCTGACACATGCAGAGGTACAGAGGCCGGCCATTGGACATAATGGCATTTGTGAGTGTGTGCGCACAAAAACGGTGAGGGGATCTTCAGAGGGACATGGTGCTACATACACACGGTGCTGGCAGCCACAACTCTGGGTCCAGGAGAACCAGGAGATGTTGGGGGTATCAGATCTAAAATCTAGAAGAGCCCTGGCCAGGTGGCTCAGTTGGTTGGAGTGTCATCCCATACACCAAAAGGTGGCGGGTTCGATTCCTAGTCAGGGCACATACCTTGGTTATGGGTTCGATCCCTGGTCAGGTTGCCTATAGGAGGCAACTGATCAGTGTTCTCTCTCTCTCTCTCTCAAATCAATAATTATATCCTCAGGTGAGGACTTTTTGTTTTTAAGTATAAAATCTAGGAGAGACAAACCTGGCTGGGTATGGAACTCCAGCTCTAAAGACGCATACTGCCCAGAAGAAGCTGGTGCTACAGAGCTGGAGGGGGCCCTGCCAGGCTGGGCTCAGACCCTGAGACAAGAATGCTCCCCCATTGGTGTGGGCAGGGTCTTTGAATGCCAGGGAAAAGGGGGAAGGGAGAACCAGTTGCTGCTGCTGGGGTGAAGGACCATAGCTTAGTGATACTGCAAAGAGGAAGAGGAGGACCCCTCCCCTCCCCTCCCCTCTCCTCTCCAGCTCTGCAGTCTCCCCAGCGCCCCATACTGGCAGAGCCCAGAAAAGAGCTGTTGTCAGCAGAAGGTGGTTTACAGAACTCAAGCCCCAGGGTCCCAAAGCAGAGAAGAAACCAGGGTTTGGAGCTAAGAGACCGTAGCTTAGCAACTGACATATAGTTCTCCTTGTCGCTCATTTCTAACAAGTTTGAGGATTTCATTTTTAGTCCTTTAACCCAAAGTTATCTTCAAAAGTATCTTTTAACTTCCAGATGTGTTGATTTTTTTTCCTGGCTATTTTAATTTGTAATATACTGCATGGAATTTATTGACATTTTCTGGTCTTAATGTCTGATCAGTCTTCGTGAGTGTTCCAAAAGTGTTTGACAAGAATACGTATCCTCTGTGGAATGGAAAACTCCACGTGGGAATCCACTAGAGCAAACAGAAAATTTAAATAGCACAACTGTTTGTTTGTTAGCTCATCTGTTGCTTTCCAAAAGCAATATGCCAAAGCCTCTCACTGCACTCTGATTGGTGATTTCTCTTTGTGTTTCTGTCAAACTTTCGCTTCCTAATTTTTAATTAAATCACCCAGGGTAACATTTAATAACATTGTATAAACTTCAGGTGTACAACTGCATAACACGACATCTGAGTGCTCACCCCGTTCTGCACCACCTGGAGTCTAGTCTCCTCCGTCACCACGTCCCTCTGTTACCTGCACAGGGAGTCACGGCCTTGACTTCTCTTCTCTCCTGTGTTAATCTTGCCACACCTGCTTTTTTTAAAGCTTTTGTAAAGTAAATCTTTTTCTATGTCTATGTTTCTAGAAGTATGTCTCATATGAATACATACAGTTGAATTGTTTTAGCCAAATCTGGAATTCTCTGCTTTTGAAAAAATAAATTTAGCTCATATACATTTATTGTAATTACTCATGTGCTTAAACTGCCATTTTTATTTTGTAATTCAATTGACATGAATTCTTTTTTTAATATTTTTTAAATTTATTTTTGGAGAGAGGGGAAGGGAGGGAGAAAGAGAGGGCAAGAAACATCAGTGTGAGAGAGAAACAGCAGTCTGTTGCCTCTCGTATGTGCACGCGCCCCAACCGGGCACTGAACCCACGACCCAGGCATGTGCCCTGACCAGGAGTCAGCCAGTGACGCTTTGCTCTGTGGGACAGTCCCCAACCAACCGAACCACACTGCAGGGCTGCGTGGATTCTTTGTGACTTTCCCTTATTTCTGGGTTTGATCCAATTTACTTTATTTCATTAAAAAAGTATATAAATTAAAATCACAAAAGAAAATGGCCAGTGTAAGTTCAAACATGGTACACAAGTTACATATATTTTTCATCTAGTTACTTTTAAGTCTTCCGCTTGAATTTCTGAAGTTTATTCACTAGTCACTTCATGATTTTTGAATGGTGAACTTTCTGAGGCCTTATGCTTGTGAAACTCTCGTTATTTTGCCCACACATTTAAATTATATTTAGTTTGGCTGGAGGAAGTTTTAAATTCAAATTGTTTTCCCTGGAAAGTTTGGAGTTCCTGTTTCATTGTTTCTTGCATCTGGAATTATTGGTTTATTAAAGTTCCTGTCAGTCTAATTCTTATTACTCTGTAGATAATCCTTTCTTCTCTCTCTAGAAGTGGTTAGGATTTTCTTTGGGTCCTGGTTTTCTAGGTTTGGTTTTATACGTAAGGACCTTTCAATCTGAACACTAGCTTTCTTGGTCAGTCCTTGGAAGTTTTATTCTACAACTGGTTTGAGTTTGTGTTCAGCTTTGTTCTGCTTTTGCTTCTAGAAATTCTTTGCATGATATTGAAATTCCTGCATAGTAGATATATTTTCCAGAATGCACCTTTTCTTGTATACTCTCCATTTTTTTGTTTGTTGCACCGGGTTCTGGGAGAATCCCACTTCTGGATTTCCCGCTCACTGTTTCTTTCTTCTTCAGCAGCACCCAAGCCACTGTTTGCCCTCATGTTGGTTCTCTTCCAGAGCAGCCGGTACTGGTTTCACAATAGCAATATTCTCTCGTCACCCTGAAGATATCGACTGCGATACTCTTAAAACGTACTCCTCTTTGCTCCCCCAACTATTGGCTGCAGTGCTGGTTCCTCGGGTTGGAGAGTGTCGTGCCTCCTCCTGTAGTGCCGGTGCTTCCTGACGGTGAACTCACCTCTGTGTCCGCCCCCCTCCCCATCTCCCAAGGAGTAGGAGGTGCCGCTTGGCCGAATTCACTGGTACCTGGCCCACGTTCCTCCTGGTCCACTTCCCGGTCCTGCTCTGGGTACCAGCCGGAGGGCACCAACCCAGTGAAGCCACTTTAAAGTTCCTTTTTGTGGGATTTAACCCTCTTTCATATACTCCCGCACAGATCCCCATCACACACACACACGCACACCCCTGTGGCCTTGGCGCACCTGTGCCACCCTGATGCTTCTGTTAGAGTCTGGTGGAAAGCCTGTTCTGTCCGTGTTCACATTGCTGTGAATGTCGGTTACTCTGCGGTTTGGGTTTGGTTTAGTTTGGTTTTGTACCACATGAAAATGCAGAACACATTCCTTCCTTCAGCTATGATAAACATTTTTCTGTTTGGTCTCATGTAACTCTTCGAATTTAATGGTCAGTGTCAAAGCTCAATGAAATGTGCTACTTAAATGGGTTCATTTTATTATGTGTAAACTGTACCTTGGTAAAATCATACTATTTTTAAAGTTCAGTTCTAAATAATAATTGATCAGACTGATTTCTGCGAAGCTGCTATGCTAATAGTAGGAGACATGAGTACAGTGGGATGGTAATAATTTCCTCTGGGTTTTTTTTTCCAGGGTGTACTTTCTAATGAAGTATTTACCGTATTGTCTAGTATTCCTGAGGCTGAAAAATTTGCTAAATTCTGGATCTGCAAAGCAAAGTTCTTGGCAAGTAAAGGCACGTTTGATGTCATCGGACTGTATGAAGAGGCCATTAGAAGTGGGGCAACAGTGAGTATCTGTCTTGGGTGGGTGATTTCTTGAAAATTCTCTCTCATGGGCTCTGTTGATTGCGATACAGCGGTTATGTAATGTAACTTGTAATTAATTCACTGCGTAAAGTTATATATGGAATGTGACGTACAGTATGCCCTTTTGAACATTGTAATTAAAATACTTATGCCAGAGAAAGTGGTATTGCCTGTAAACTAATAGAATCACATTTTTTGTCAAGTGAATGTATCTCATTTAACACTTGCTGTATAAATATGCACTTATGGAAAGTCATATCATAACAAGTTACAACATCAATACTCAATACTTATAAAGCCATACCTCACCATAAAGAATCTAGAAATATGCTAAACCCAACATATCAATATGCATAAATAAGTAATTCAGAGCCATTGCATGAAATTCCTTTTAATTCTAAAACCTAGTAAAACTATCTCTGTATAATTTTTAACAAAAAAAGCAAAGAGTTTTATAGCTCTTTTCACTTGCATGTTGCTTTTTGTCACCATGTATTCTACATACCATTTTGATTGTTCAGAATCAGAGTTGCACACGCACATCGTTTAAACAGTCAAGTAGTTCAACAGGGTTCTTTAAACAGAGCCTCTGCTCCCCTCGCATCCATTTCTCACTTCCCAGAACAAACTGATTATTTTCCTATTTACTCTGTAGTTTCAGATAACGTGCTTGTATTGCTATTTCCTGAGTTTTCCACTTTAGACGTGATTTGTGGACTTCCAAATATGCAGGATTAGTATTTAACCTCTTTCACACACACCTGCACAGACCCCTGACACTCTCGCGCCCCCTACGACGCTGGCGTATCTGTGTTGTCCTGGAGTCACAGGAATTCCGGTCACTATTGCATGCTCACGGTGTTATGAATGTGTAAGAAATGTGGGAGTATGTTGAGCCGTGTACTTTATACTATGATTACTTTGTCTTTCAAGCACAACTTTCTACTTTTCCTGAAATTAACTGTTTGGTTTTCTGAGTGTTTATTGTATAATTAATTCCAAAACTCTTCTCTAGTTGTCTAATTTCTTTACTCTCTCAGAACATCAGACATTGTATTTGTTTCTCTCCGAGGCCTTTCTTTCAGACTCTTGTGACCCGTCCAGCCCTGATGGGTCAGCTTTGCCCCAGTCCTCACTGGCTGTCATGGGGACACCTCTCCCCTTCACCCTCAGGTTGCCCTTCGGTCCTCCGCTCTCAGTTCCTAGAGGCCGTATCAGATTTACTTCCCACATGGTCTGCTTCGTCTCTCCCTCTTTCCCTCTCTCTCTGGTTGTTTGTTCTATTTTATTCTGTTCTCTATTGTCCATTAAAGGCTCTACTCAGATGCCGGTGAAACTGGGTTGTTGGCATATAAAAGCTTATTAAAAGATCTGGGCACCTGGGTGGGGCTTGACCACAGTCGATCTGGCTGGGTCAGTTGGTTGAAGACGCCCTCACTAGCAGTATTTTCGGTCCTTCCCCTTAGACAAGTCATGTTTTCTAGAGCAGACGCTTCCAGTTTCCTTCCTAGAGCCAGGAACAGGCCACCAGTGTTATGGGGGGAGGAGAGAGTGGGATTCTTGACCTTCAGCAGGAAACTTTCTTTAATCCCTTCTTTTCAGTAAGTGCCCCCACCTTTCATCATGCAGGATGCTCCCCAGAGACCTGGAGAAGGTACCCCGTGTTCTGTGGGGGGTGGGGCACAGACACCAGGCTGTATGGAGCTCAGGGTGCAGGGTGGACTGGGAGACCTGACTGCTCTCTGAACAGATGTTCAAGGCTCCTCCTGGTCCTGCCCACCATCCACCCCTGAGCCTTTCAGAGGCCCTGGGGTGGGATCAGGTTATTTCCTGGACATACTGCCAGCTCCGAAGTTGGCTCTTTCAAGTTGCCCCAGTTGGTTATCGCTTCCTTCAACATTCCAGCTTCCAAAATCTTGTTGCTGTTTCTTCTCTCCTAATTTTTGTACTTATTTCCTCCTTTTAATCCCTTTTTAAAAATCAGAGTTTCAAGAGGGATTAGAAACAAATCTTTTTCTAATCCATCATCTTTAACTAGAAGCTTGTAAAAACATAAAAGATACTTGATGAATATTTTAACTCAGGTTCTTTACAATATATTCTGTATAATTCTTTCCATTTCCTTGAGCTTCAAGCACTGTAGACTTTATAAAAATGTGTGGGTACCTTTGCTTTTATGCTGTTTATACCTATTACTTACGCGAGACAGAATTCGGTCAGAAGACCAGCCTCCTGGTGCAGCCTTCCTGTGAGAACAGCAGCTCACTTGTGATGTGCTGCCTTAGGGCGTGGCTTTCCTACCTCGGAAAAGGGAGGGTCTCTCAGCTAATTTTACAGAAAAGTTGTTTTTTAATAATGTTTTAAAGTTATATTCCCAAATAAAAGCGAAAGAATAAGAAGGCTGGGAGAAAATTGCCCAAAATGCTAACTAAAGCTTGTATTTGGGTGATGAGATTATGGGTGGTGTTTTTGAAGCTTGACCTATTGTTCATTTTTTTTGTTGTAATGAGGTATATGACTTTTATGATAAAAATCAAAATTAACTAAGACGATTCTTAAAATGTGTGCCACGTTTCCTGGACAGCTGTCTTCATCGCCTTGGGCCAGGATCTTTATATGGGAGCGCATCGTCAGTGGGGTCACATGAGTCAATAAGAAAATACATTTATTTTAGAGAAATGTCATTATAGACAACTTCCCATCAGTTCATCTTTCCATCAAAGTCGAACATTGCAGCATTTAACCAACATTTTATTTGCTCCTTTATTTTTCCCATGAAGCTATAAGTCTGGAACTTTTTAAATGTCATTTATATTTAGACAAGAGATTTTTAAAAAGCAAACATAAGGAAAAAGCAAACATTTTTATTACATAAGGAAGTTCATTTGATGTTATACAGAGTTTCTTAGGTTATTTTTTTCAGGAATGTTTTTAATACTGTTGATGTCTTTTCCTTCTTTCCAGCCAATCCAAGAGTTACGAGATGTTGTTCTTAATATTTTGCAAGACCCAAACAGAACCAGAGACGGTACTGCTATTTTGTATTTGAAGTCGTTCCCCTTAGTGATACAAGTAAAAGTCATCGAGGAGCACCTAGGAAAACCAAGGAAATCCTCCAAAATGCCTCTCCCCTCTTGGTTTCTGTGGCCTCGGCCTCTCAGCCTGTGTCGTCAGCTGACTGACTGTCCTCGTTACAGGCAGATACACTGCTCAGCACTGAGTGGCCTGGACAAGAATATCCTGCTTCCTGGGAGTCCGAGGTTGCAGAAGACAAGTGGCTCTTCTGAGGCAGAAGGGAGAAGTGCCCTGGCTTAAGTCATGTTTCATCATAACAAACCCGCCAACACTTTTACATCTAAATTCACACTATCTCTTCCAGAGTAGCCGTGGCAGGCCTCTGCCGTGAGCTCAGCATTCCTGTCATTGTCAGAACCTCTAGGGGGCTCTTCTGTGGGCAACACTGGGCAGAGGCAGTGAGTGGCACGTTGTAATGGCTTAATGTGTTTGTTTTGTGAGCAGAAAGAAAACAAGCCACCTTCAGTAGATAAAATGGGTTATTTTTATGCATTTAGAAGGTGACAAATCTTTTTTCTCTGAGTAGAGATTTACCTTTGGGGAAAAGTCATGTGAAATTACAGCTACTGACACATTTTGAGAGTAAGGTTACACGGTAGTTATGCTGAGCGGCACTCTTGCTAGGAATGATGCTAAAATTCAGATTTTGTTTATAATATATGGCGACATTCTTTAAGAGGATGAAAAGAGGAGACAGGAATCTATGTCTTACTGCTTGTTCACTACTTACTGACCTCTCGGGGTCTCGGCCTCAGTCACAGTATCTCCCTGGCTCAGTTTAATTTCCTTCCTTTTATTTTGGTTATTGTGGTCGGGCTGGCATGCAAATTGGGTTAACACAAGACTTTTTTTCACCCACTGTCCAATTCGATAGCGATATGGTCATCTTGGGTAAGGAGGGGATCGAGTCAAGTGAGTTAACCCTAGTAAGTCAGGGTATGGCGTAAAGGTGAGAGTCAGTGATCGGTCCCTAAGAGAGTTCTCTGGAGAGTGACTAAGAGACTGGGGCCATGTTCAAAGAGGCTGGTGGGGGTGGAGGGTCCTGGGCAAGAGGCAGCCTGACGCAGCTGCAGGGCTCAGCAACAAAACGGGTTGTGAGTCCCGCTTCAGATCGACTTATCTTCTTTACTATCTGGAGTCAATGAGGAAATCATCATATAGATTCAATCCATTGATTTTTGGTTCGGTACTAAACATTTAAATCTTGCTTTCCTTCTTGACCTTGCTGACAGGAATTACCTCTAACTCTGTGGTCGCTGAAACTCATATAATATCCACAGAAGAGCTGGCCAGGGACATGGAATCTGGAAGAAAGTCTTGTCTTTCTCCAAAACACAGGGAACAATTTCCGGCAACACCCCAAATAACGGAAACAGGAGAGGGTGATCACCCTGGTATCAAATTGCAGGTCGCTCCCATCCCCAGGTAAGCACACTCCACAGCTGGCTTCGTGCTCCGGGTGAGGGGAGGGTTGGTGTGGATAGAGATCTCTGCCCTTCCCCGGCACACTCACCACACCCTCCCACAGTCCGCAGGAGAACTGGCCCGCAGTGAGGGAGGTGCTGCTGGAGTCAGGAGGGTTTGGAGTGGGCTCCTCCGCACCCTCACTGGTCCTGCTGTCGCAGACCCCACCTTCCTTTCCCGACAGCCCAGCACAGATTGGGTGGGTGGGTGGGCGGAGCACAAACGCCAGTAAAGGCCACCTGTGTATCGGTGCGGAGGAGGGGCAGTGGGCAGTCCCATAAGAACCCAGAGGGCGGTTGTGTGTGTGTGTACTGGTTACAGACCGCTCAGAGTATCAGCTGGCTCTTTAACAAGTGTAAGTTTAAGGGCGACTCCAGAGTAATTTAAGGAACTGTGTCAGGTATCCATGTCATTTTCTAAACAGTAATGTAACATGAATCTCTGTTCCTGATCTTGAAAGGGGACTTCCAGGCAGGAGCACCCCGCCTCTTCCAGTTCTGACCTCCGCTCAGATGTGGCGGGTCCCCCCACAGTCCGCTCACGAGGGGGCAGGCTGGGCTGCCAGCTCTGCGTAGGCCGTGCGGGCAGTGGTCCGGCAGCGCGCAGAGCAGGGTCACTGCTGGGCCTGTCGCTACAGCCTCTCCTCAAGGCTGCTTTTCATGGGAACACTGCAACATTTACAGGGAAGGTGCCCAGTTTGCTTCAATTTGTGGTTTGAGTCATCATCTGAAAATATGTTTTTTTAATAATTTACTGTCAAAGCTAGAAAAAAATCTTAGTTTTCATTAGTTCAATCCCATTTGATGTTAGGCCCACTTTCCTCAAGAACCTGTCCGTTCTTTTGAAAGTTTATGGAATAAACAAACACCAAGTGCCAGTACTTCACCTCCAATATAAAACCACACTTTACGCTTCACTCGGTGACTCTGTCTCCTCACCGCATCTGAGAGCAGGTGGACACGCCCGGTTCGTTCCGATGGTCAGGGAAAGGCCAGCTTAGGATGAGAGCTGCTCTAGATGTACCTTCTATATTAACCTACATTTAAACATCCGTCGTGTTTTATTAATGGAATAAGAAAAATAAGGAATAAGTGCAGTTTCAAAAGCCGTGATAAAGTTTTCAGTGCCCCTCTTGTTGTCTCTCAGAATAAGCGGAATGCCAGAAGTGCAGGACGTGAAGCTGATCACCCCCGTGCGGCGGTCGGCGCGGATCGAGCGAGCCGTGTCCCGCTACCCGGAAATGCTGCAGGACCATGACCTGGTGGTGTCTTCCCTCAATGAGCTGTTGGAAGTGGAAGAAACAGAGTGTTTTGTATTCCGTAAAAATGAGGCTTTGCCTATAACGTTAGGGTTTCAGATCCTTGAATCATAATTTCTGGATGATTTTCACTAAAGAGGTATTTCAGATCTCTATGAGATAAGAAACGCCCCCGTCCAGCTGCCCGGGAGCAAACTGCCACGGACGTAGACTGGACTGGGACAGTAGCTCGCGGGGCTCTCTCTCCAATTGCGTCTCCCACAGAAAGGCCTTCGGCTTTTTTGTTTAAAGTTGTAGTTTGCCAGTTTAACTGCATGCAGAAATTTCATGCTGTGGGGTGCGAATTTACCCCACAAGATGGTAAGGATATTTATTGGGGGGGGGGCCACAATGTGACTGCTCTTCCTTCCTGCACCCAGCTGAGCAGAGAGAGAAGTCCTCCCAGCACGAACCCACGGACCCCATGATCCCATGAGATGGGACATGGTGGGCCACCTGGTCAAGTCCCCTCGTTTTACAGATGAGTGTATACTCGCTACCCCTTTGCTCAGAGATCACAAATGACTTACGTGTGACCTTCGCCTTCTGTCACCGTGTCTTTGTTGTGAGGGGTCATCCGCGTCCTTTCTGTCCTAGTCGTCCTAGTGAAGCAACCCTGCATGGGGGTGGTCACCTAGCTTCCTCTGTCCAAACCTAATGTTTGCATTTGTTACTCAGAAACGCTTTAAACGAAAACAAGGAGAGGGATGGGAGGGGCTGCCTGCTCCGCACTTCAGTTCTCTGCTCGGCCAGGGAGGCCACACACTCCGCAGGCTGCCTCTCCTCCTGGGCACCAGCTCTTGGGAAGGGAAACTCAAAATCACTGTGTAAATGTAATGTGTAGAAGAACCCTAGTCGACATTCTAAACGTAGCTTTCTTAATATTCAGTTATTAACCAAAAGAATATTAAAGTTCCTTTTTCTGCCTCTTCATTTACCTTATTACAAAAAAACAGCGATGATGCCTTGGCCCAGAGAATTAGGGGCCTGTCTGGGGAAGCAACAACAGGCCGCTCCAGAGGCCGCCCGGGACCCCGACTACGCTGCAGAGCTCACCTTGATCGGGGTCATTTATAGGAGGTTCACAGAAAGGAGCTGTAAGACCATAATGCGAACAGACTAAGTTTCAGTAAGAAGTAGATGGTTGCCGCAACCCAGACCCAGGAACGCACAGCCAGCCCTTCCCTCCCTTTTGCCTGTGACACCACTGAACGCCCACAGGGTTGCTCAGAGATCAGGGAATCTGGGAGTGGGCGTCAGAAACCAAACACTGATATTTAAGATGGGACAGGTGCCAATGCAGGCCTCTCCTGTCACAGTGTCCTCATCTCGGGGATCGGCACCCACTTCCTTCCACCGACTGGGTCCTTGGGATGGGCCATGGGCGTGCACCAGCATCGTCGCGCCTTTGCCCTTTCTGTGGCTTCCAGAACGCTCCACCCTTGCCACCCAGCACCCACCCCCGCACAGGCCTCTGGTGATTTTACGTTTTTTCTCAAAACCACTATAACTAATAGCTCAAAGTGACGGATTGGAGATTGTGAGCGCCTGATACAGAAGGGGGGGATGTATACAGTGCGGCCACTGCAGAAAACCACCCCCGGCCCGGAGCCTGGTAGAGTCTCATGACCACCGCCACATAAACAGCTGTTCCTAGAAATGGAGCGGGGCGGGGGGGGGGGGCAGGAAGAAGACAGGCTCTGGTCACAGAAGGAAGTTTGTGGGGTGGGAAGGGAGGTGGGGCCTTGGCAGAAATTAGTTCTAACGTTGTGTCGGGATGGCTTCTTAGCACACTGAGGGGCGGTTTTAAAGGAGCGTAAACCAGGGAGGGCTGTGTAGTGGCATCACTGTAGGGAACGACGGGGCACATTTGTCAGTGTCTACTGGCTGCTGTGAAGCAACTGTTCTTGCTTGCCCAGCACATGGTCCTAGTAAAACCACCCATTTCCTAGGGCCACCTCTCCCACTCCCAGTCCATTCTTTAATGGGCATGGGCTGCACCACAGGGGGAGCACGGGACCCAGGTCCGGCCGGCCAGAGCCCAGCATCTCCTGGCCAGTGGCCCTGGCAGGAGGATGGGGGCACGTTGGAACCAGTGAGATTCTTTCCCAGACTGTCGTTGGAAAGAGACTTGCTGATAGAGTTCTGAAAAGATGGAGATCGAGTTTGGGGTCAGCTGTCTTATAACCACGTAAGAAAAAACCCACCAGAGAATAATGCCAACAAAGAATGGACATGAGCTAGAGAGAACATGGTTACACCCAGTGACTTCATTCCATCCCCGAGCTACCCCCTGGACTTTCCAGTGATGTGAGGCAATGAATTCTCTTTTCCTATGTGGTTAAATTTAGGGTTCTGTTAGTTACCAGGGGAAGCCCCAGCCAGCACGCCCACGGTGGGACAGGAGACTCGGTCAGGGTGAGCTCTGGCCATGTCAGTGAAGGTCGTTTCACTACCTCCTCTCAGGAGCCTTATGACACAGATGTGGAAGTGGAGTAGTTGCCAAAGCAACAGGGCTGCCAGCCTCCAAATACGGAGTTTTGAGTTTCTGTTTCTAGTCAGAAATGAGGACTAGGGTCGTGATGAGGAAAGAGCCAACTGAGAAATTCTTAAACTGTTCCCAATTTACCAAACCGTCCTTTGTTGTACAGATGAGCACATGATCACCTGCGTACTATGAGATCACTACCCCAGGTACCCCTCTGTTCTCTTTTTCTGACTGCTCAGGACTGGGTTCACGGAGGTGCACCCCTCTGTCCACAGTCCGTGGGAGACAGCCAGAGCTCCTGGCGTCTGCCGTGGTTCTGCCCCGCTCACGGCCCAGCATGGCCGCCGGCCACCGTCACAGTGCAGCCGGGGGAGAGGGGAAAGGCACTGGAAGGCACGCCCTCTCCCCTCACTTCCACAAGCTGACCCGGGCTAATAAACCAGATGTCACAGTTCCCTCAGTAGAACACAGGACACTGTGGGTGCAGATGCCAGAGATGCAATGATGAGCCAATGACCTGACCGCGGGAGCCAAGAGTCTAGTGAGGATGCACGTTAAAGAATCACACATGTAAAGGCGTGATGATCCTGAGAAAGGTTCCTGCGACAGGAATCTTTCTTAGTCCCATCTCTTAGGGACTAAGAGAAGGAACTGGTGCCCTCGGGGAGGTGGGGAGACCCGAGGCAGAACAAGTTGAAGGGGAAGAGGCAGGGGAGCCTGGGAGATGGCCGCTGCCACCTCCCCCTTCCGCCCACCCGCCTCCTCTCCTGCTCGCCCGCGCTGCACCCACTTTTCCTCGGAGCCCCTCGGGTTCTTTTGCCAGGCTCTTCGTCCCCTCGCCCATTCTGCATTCTCTATCCCGAGAGGGAATTCTGAGAGCTGATGTTTGCAGATTCAGCTACTGAACGTATTACAGCACCTCTGCAGGAAATCGGGGCCCCTGGTCTTTCCTGGAAAAATGCTGCCCTGCACCAGTGAGAGGAGTCTAGTGTTTAAAGACACAGGCCAGGGACACCCGGTCCTCACCTGGGTAGGCCCAGAGAGCCCAGGATGAGGGAAAGGCCTCGGTGGCTCCAGACCCGAAATGCAGATGTCGAACATGACCGAGCGCTAGAGCGCCTGGCTGTGGCCCCTTTCCTATCTTCAGATATGCCAAATGTGTCCCTTGTTCATCCACCAAAATGCCACCAGTGAGCATGTCACAGACCTGTTCCTTCAAGAGTTTCGTCATTTCAAACGCAGATACACTCATTCTAAGCCTCCATGTATCCCAGATGACACCACTAACAAGTGACAGTGACATCAGAACAAGGGTAGGCCGGGGCTTAATACCACGCAGAGCAGCGCCTACCAAAGTAACGATGACGTTTTAAATCACGAGCATGACTTGTTTTAATGCCTCGAGTTCAGGACATCTGGGCTATCGCATTTACTGTCTTCCTAGTGACCTAGAATGAGGTCATCTACAGCCATTCAGATATTATTGTTATCACCAGTAACAGATTCAAGCAGGCACAGAAATGCTCTTTTTTAAAATAAATGTGCAAGGCGCCCCCTCTTGTACGCAGGGGAAACTACATGTACCGGCTGCTTCCTGTGTGGTCTCCGCCCCGCCACTATTGCTGCCACCACCCCTCCGTGCCCTGAATGGCACGCTCAGCCTGGAGTCTTGCCCATCCTCCAAACCATCCAAAGAAGAACTGGGACACACAAAGGCCGGGTCCCCCATGATGAGGCCCTGGCATGTGCCTTGCTAGGCCTCTTGCCAATGTGTGGAGATGCAAAGACCATGCAGACCTGGGACCCCCAAAAATGGCTTTTTGTGACATCCTGATAGACATGGGTGGTGAGTACGACTCTCAGAGACACGGATATTAGCATCACCAGAGGTTCGCAGAGACCATGAGCTTCCTGTCCTCTGAAAGCCATGATCGACCAGCCTGAGCAGCGCTGGACTCATCTACCTGCCCTGTGGGCACAAGCTGCTGGCCCGGTTGCTGGGCACTAGCAGAGAAGACAGCAGGGTGGGCGCCTCTAGGACAAGATGTACGAGACCTTCGTGAGGAAGCGGTTGCAGTGGGGAATGTGATCTCCCAGTGGGACAGCCTGGATAGAGCCGACCCCTGGGCCGAGAGAGGGGCTTGCCCAGGGGAACCCATCTGCAACCAGCCCGACCAACACACCGAGGAGGGGTCCAGAGGAATTTCCGTGGAGGCTAGACTTCTACCAACACAGCTGGCTGCCAGCACAGGCCTTGCTGGAAGAGGCCCTGGCCCAGCAATTCCAGGTGGACCCAAGGGGGAGATCGTGGAACTGGCAAAAGGTAGGTGCCCCTGGTAAGAGCACCTCTATCACCTGGAATCTGGGCTGTCACCCCCCAGGAACCAGGCCCTCGTTAGCTACACTAACCAGGCTGGTCAGTGGCCGGTGCGGTGTGTACCCAGTGCGGTGAGCTCTCCATGCACACCAGGGCAGGCTGCCCCTGCCGGCGCCATGGTGGGCCTTCAGGAAGAGGCCCAGGACCAGGTCCATGGCACGCCTGGCTGCACCTCTGTCTGTGCCAGGGTCTCCGCTGGTGGGTCCCCGCAGAGAGTGTCCCTCGAGCATGGCCTGGAGCTTGTGCCTCCCACAAATCCCCTCACCCTTTTCAAAAAAAAAGAAAGAGAAAAAAAGAAATGTGCATAAATAAAATTGCATGTGGAACATTATGCAATTCAGGAACTTGTTACATACATTTCTAGTGGCTCAAAGGCCAGGTGACACCTTCTAGGCTGAGCAGTACTTTTCCCCCTAAAAGAAGAGTTCTTGGCTCCAAATCTGTCATGTTTAGGAGATATCGACAAGGTGCTTTTTCTCTCTTCCATACTTTTCCTTTTATCCGAAAAATATCTCGAGTAGAGGACAAGCCGTGGTGCCAGCTCGGGTGTAGGACTCAGCCAGCCTCAGCGCAGCTCCCCTGGTCCTCGGTGCTCTCTGGGTCTCCTCAGGAACAAAGAAAACTGGTACGGACCCTCTCCTCCCCGAGCTCACACAGTGACTCCCAGCCAGGGGTAGAAAAGGTGCCAAATGCCCTCCTCTGGGCTGGGATGAAGATGAGGGGCAGAGAAGCCAAGCCATGCACCCCCAGAGAAGCCCCAGATACTGATGGGAGTGTGTGCAGTATTCTGCTGGTTGGGATGGGAAAGTAGCTCAGTAAACATCCGCTAAAGGGAACTTATCAGAGGGATACTCTAATCACAAACCCCAAGACTTCCAGGGTAGCCACAGGAGCCAGCCTGCCACTCGTGACAGCCAGAATCTCAGGCCGAAGGAGCTCAGGCAACACGTGGCAAAGGGTTGGAAAGCAGGGGTCCGGCTCTGGTACTTCCGCAACCTCTCCCACAGCGGGGATGGGCTGGTCGGACAGATCAGCCAAAAGTGGGTGGAAGGGGGCCAGGCAC